GCGCCGGGACCGCTACGTCTCCGACTTCCTCGAGTGGGGTGAGCTGGGGCGGGGTGGGGGCAGGGGGGGCCCGTGGTCTGACCCTACCCGACCTGACCTGACCTGACCTGACCTGACATCCCGGCGGAGCTAATCCGGCGCCTGCTGGCACCCCGCGGGGAGGGCGGCTGTCAGCGGGTCCGTGGAGCAGGCCGGAGGGGCGAGGACAGGGTGAGCTGCCAGGGGGAGGTGGCGGCGGCGCCCAGGACAAAACAGGTCTCTCGCCGCAGGGAGCGAGAGGCTTGGAGGAAGCTCGTTTGCAAGGCGGAGGCCCCCGGGCACTGGGGAAAGCGCTGGTGGCAGCCCACTTGTGGGCCCAGGACTAGGGAAGGGCGGCTGACGTGCAGCAGGACGAGTGGTTGCAGGGGAGTGGGCTGCATACGGTGGCACCTGTGTTGTGCTGTATGCTTGAAAGATCTTTCTTTTCCTTTTATTAAGAAAAAGCCTAGACTTCCTTGGGGGGGAGTGTCAGGAAGAGCAAATGCAGGTTGTGAATGTTTCGGGCCCGCGCACTCCACATGGGACAGCTGGTTCTGCTTCATTTCTGAGGCGACCTCCACTCTTTGTTAGACACTAACAAACTAAGAGGATTCACTTCCTGGAGTCTTCTGTTGACGTCAGTAATGCGATTGCCAACTGAATAATTAACTACTTTATCGCATCTGCTTTGCAGGGCTGCGGCCCCGGATGCATCGATTATGTGTTTTGTGGCAGCTCGGTGTGCTCTCTGCATGCTGGATGCTGCCTGTTCTTTAAAGCCATTACTTGCAATGCATTGAATTTGCATGAGGAGACAAGTAGCTAGATATAACGGTAGCTAGACCCCACTGATGTGGTTGTCCTGAAGGGAAGAGAATAGTTTGGAGTTCGATGGGTGTCTGGGGCCTGAGATGCTTTCTCTACAGTTTTTGGTGATAATCTCCATATTGTTATCTGTTGTGTGACTGACAGGCAGATTTATTCAGTTACTCGTAAAATTACTTCTCCTAGTTTTTATTTATCAGACTCTTTGAATTAAATATGAAAAGGTTGCAGACATGATCAGATGTATGGCAGGAGTATATTTATTGTTAAGCTAGACTAGTCCTGTAATGCGGAGTAGCTCTTTAATAAATAATGGAAATGTATGCAAGTTGCCCTCTGGTGATACAGTATAGAGGTACAAGCTTGTACTCCAAAAGGCTGCATGGAAAAGATGCAGTACTGTATATGTTGCATAAATATAAACTTCCTTTTGGTGCAGTTAAGGTTAATTGTACACATCTCACAGCTCCTCCAATACATGTCCTGAAATGCCAACTCTGGAACACCTTTCACCTGTGCCATAATACCCTTATTATACGTTTTCATTGACATGGTTCTTCAGCACTAGGAACATGTTCTTTTATTAGCTGGAGGCATAAACATGGGCTCAACATCTTAATCTTCCTCATTGTGTAATTTGCAAGCTTAATTACAGCCTCAGCGATGTTAAGAGGTTGTTCAGGATTGATGTGCAGAACTTGATTGAGCACTGTTAAGTGTGTGTAGGATCAGTATGAAGTTGTAGTTAAAATGTGGGCTACACTGTAAATGGATATTGGTGTTTTCTCATGCTGGTTAGAGGGAGAAGGAACTTCCTATGAACAAAATAGAGTCTGTCATAAATCAGTGAACATATAGTGTGTGGACATCAAGATACAGTGAAAGGCAGCTTATAATTTCTTTGCTATTTGATAGATATCTCAATATCATGCAGAACAAATTAAACGCAGTTTAGTTGTGGAATTTCTGGGGCTTTTCCTTGATGAGGTTGAAGCATGGTTTTGTCCGGGAGGGGCATGGCGAAGCCCTATGGCTTGTCAAGATGGAGGACATGGTTGAGATGTGGGGATAACTGTGGATGTGCACAGGCCAGCAGGTCTGTTTCTGTCTTTCTGAAGCCCAGCTTAGTGTAGTGCTGGAGGCAGTGTCATGTATTATATCTACTCTGCCAGGCCAGCCACAGCCTCGCGCAATTACTGTATCTGACAGACCTTCAGAGCTTCAAAAAGTGGGAGAGTCCCTGATGCTGGAACTTAGGGCTTCTCTCCCAGGAACCCTGGCTGGTACTTCCTGACAGTCAATGCCACAAGGTTCAGGTGAATCTCACCATTTCCCAGTGCAGTAGAGTGTGAGGGGAGGCAGTTTTTTGGAGCATCTTGTGACTTTAGTCCCACTGAACACAAGAGCCAAGAGGCTGCCATCTTAACCCAAGACAGTTGGATTTTGTTTTCCCACAGGAAATGAAGCTGTTGGGCATATTGTGTTCCAGCTGAATCGCATGCTCCATTTGGGGAAGAGGAAAAGTTGCATCAAAATATCTTTTAGCCAAAGGAAAACAATCTGATCTAGAAGCTAGGAGAAGCATTTCGGATCTCTTATTTGTCCACGTATTTCTGTTTATAACTCCCATTATCATTCTCATTACCATAGAAGATAAGCATGTAATAGCCACACCATTTCTCAAATGAAGTAATTGAGAGAGTGCACAATGTTCTTACTGGGATTAACGTGGTGTACTCTGATCACATACATTCGGAAATGGTCTGCCAAATCTTTGTGCTTGGTGTTACTGTCTAAACATTACTTTAACTGCTGTCCAATACTCTTCCTCCTGAGCCAGTAATAGAAAACTGAGTCCTGACTGGAGGGCCTCTTGTTTTAACATTGTCCCAAAGTCATCAGTAAGACCCAGGAGTCATGACTCGCAGGGTTCTTCTGTCATCTAGTAAATAAGCATAATTTTTTTTTTCTGCCACTGTGTTGAGTTCTCATCCTTATAACAAAGAAAACAAAAAATAACTCCCCAAAGTTACTTTAATAATTTAAGTATTATACATGTCAGAGATGGAGATCTGAAGGTCATGTGCTGCTGACCTGTGTGCTAGAAATGCCTGTAAGGAAGAGGCTGCTGTAGTAGGAAGGATCCAGCTGGGTTGCCCCAACTACTCCCCTCAGTTATCACAAGCTGTCTAACTTTTAAGTGGCCAGGGGCCCTCCACTGCCTCTGCTGTGTTGCTGGTGCCCATGCGCTGTGCTGTCTAGAAGTCCCCTGGGCTGCTGTGCCCTGTCCTGCTTCCATGGTTCATGGTGAGGGCAGGAAATGAAAGCTGGCAGAGAGAGGGTGAGCCTTGAGACCACAGTGGCAGTACTGGAGAACAGTGGGGGAGCAGTGCCCAACTGGGAGCCTAGGGGACATGAGTTACCCCTCACATGCCACCAGCCAGACAACCCTGACTTGGCATACAGGTTCAGCGGCCTGTCCTCTTTCTCCTTCAGAAAATATCAAGCCTCAGAAGCTTACTCAGCTACTGGGGATGAAGCAAAGAGAAGGTAACTGGGCTGATACTTTTTGACAAGGACTTGGCCCCAGTAGTTCTGGCACAACAGCTTTTTCCTGCAGCCAGCAAAAATAATTATCTCACATGGTAAAAGTTTTTTGCAGTGTCAGAAGTTTGTTTCAAACCTTGCACCTGACGTGGTGGGAAAAGGTTATAGTTTAGCATCCTTTTTTATTTTTGCCTTGGGCTTTTTTAACCCTTCATATTAATAGAATATTTTGGTTGTGAAGTCAAACAGTTGCAAGGTAAGAAATGCACAGGTTACTTAATTTTTTTTTCCTCTTGATACTTTGTCATGACACTGATTACAAAATATTTTTCTAGCTGGATCTTTCCCAGTGAACAGGATGGTCATGGCAGGGCATAAGTAAGGTTGCATGGGTGACTATAAATCTCACATTTCCTTACTTGGCTTGTTTGACTTTGCAGCCAATGTCAGTAAGGTCCTTCTAACTTAACTTGTTCATAGGTAATATTACTCAAATTTGCATTTTGCCAAGAAAATGCTTTATTTGCGTCATTAAAACTTCTACAGTTGGCACCACTTAAGCCTTATCAGTATAAGCAAACTGACTGAATGTCAGTGTAGTCAATGAAGTTCATTGCACTGAATCTCTTTTATCAGCTGAAGCTGAAATAATCCTTTCTTGCAATACAAATACTTCACTTTTGGGGAATGATGGGATAGTTTTACAGCTATGGGGGCCAGGGGAGAGAGAATGATTTAAGTACTTGAATTGCAGAACTTAAATAGCGTCCCTTGTTAGATTCTTCCTCAGGGAGATACTTTGGTTTTTTGGTTTCTGTCTTGAAAGTTTAATATGGAGAAATGCTAAGTCTTAATGAAGATTACTGTTGGAGGCTTTTTTACCTCATCCAGCCACCCTAAACCTGTCTGTTTAGATTTTGTATATATGGTTTGTTGGTATAATTTGAGGCAACTTGAACAAACAGTTCTGACAATGGAAGTATTAAGAAAACACAGTATGATTCAAGTTCTGAAAAGCCTAATGCTTGCATTAATTCCAAATTTATCATTAAAGATACCTTGAAATCTTGTGAATAGACTTAGAGTAATTGTGTTGATTTTTGTTGTCATTGGATTTGTGTACCTCAGAAGTGTATAATATGACCCCTCAAGGAAACTTTATTTTGTAAAAAAACAGACAAGCTTTTTACAGTTTTTCTAATAAACGTTTGTCTAGGGCAACGTAAAGGTGAAAGTTCATGAAAATCTTTGTTCAGGCTTGAGGCAAGTTTAAATGTCTCCCCCCAACTACATGTGGAAACTTGTATCATAATGCAGGTATAACTATTTAGCTGTTTATTCCACAATCTCCACTATGGTAACTAAACACCTAAATATTTTCTTTGACAATTATTACATCAGTGTCTTGGGTGATCTGAAGATTAATATTGTCAAAGTGGCATTGTAACAGTCTTTTGCTACTTGAAAGTTAGCTGCAGTATATACAGTCCCAGAATTTTTGCATTGCGTATGGATAATCTTAATTTGTCAAGCTTGCATATTTACAAAGACCATATTAGGCATCATCATTTTGGAAAGTATATTTTTAAATAGGAAATAGTGTCTGTTTTAGACATGTCCTTAACTTTAATTGTGAGCAGTCTCAGAA